CGAAGGTATGATATTTATTTTTTCCTAATGTCACGCGTTGTAGGCAGAATCCCCACGACATTTTTTCACACAAACGTGTATCATATGTTTTAGAAAAGGTACATATTTGTGAAAAAATAGCTCAAAAGACAACAGAATCGTCGATTTAATTCCTCACTTTAGTTACGGAAATGATATTGGTTAAAAATGCAGATCTTAACTGTTTTTCAAAATATTGTTTCTGTAACTTAAGTGAGGAATTAAAATGACGATTCAGTTGTCTTCTGAACTACTTGTTCGCAAATATGTACATTTTCTTAAACATATGTGATAGATATATGTTGTCGGTTTGTGATAAAAATGTTGTGGTAATTCTGCCTATAATGTGTGAAATAAGGAAAAAAGAAAAATCGTACCTTGGACTTTCGGAGTTGGTTACCAGTGATAACAGATCTTTGTAAAATACCTGGAAATTATCTGTGAGGCAAGGTTGGCTACTCTGGTGTTAGATGTGCTTACTGATAGGCTCCACCCATTCTCACTCAATGAGTCAAGCTCTGATCCATACACTATCATCTCTCTTGATGCAGTCTGGAAATAAAACATTATACATCTTGTTTGGACCTCTTATGAAAAAAATAATTGATCCTAATTGAACAACAAGTGTTTAAAGCTTTGGTAAAGACTAGTTAAGTGTTTCAGGATGATGTCATAACATGTCATGTCAGGGATTATTTTGACAAAACTTATATTATCACAAAAAGAATGTCATTGCTGGCTAATTAAAGTAATTCTAATATAAACTACAATCAAAATTGAACAGAGGGGGGGGGGGGGGGGGGGGGTGAATGGATGGGGGAGTAATATGTCTAAACCTAAACCAGAAAACTGTGCTCATTGTGAAAATATCATTGCTCATTGTGAAAGTGAAGCTACTTTTGTTCTGATATTTCTTACATCAAATGGCAGCTATCTTGTTTTTCCCCCTTCAAATTAAACTGGCGGGAAATTCAAAATTTGAAAAATAATTAAATATACTTATCACATACATTTAACTGAGGGACCAAAAGGGCATATATCCAGACTCATCCTTTACACAAATATGTGAGTTGATAATTAAACTCAGTAACACTTGATAACCCCCCCCCCCCTGCTTGAAAAATAATGCTGGGAAGATCACTGAATGCCTTGGAGTATATTTGCATAATTAATCTCAGTGGGTGGCACTCAGGTGGGTGCAAAAACTCTCATTTTCACAATTTAGACAAAAATTGGTGAGATATGCCAATGATTTTTTTCATTTTTATGTGGGTGCAAACTGATTTTCAGGTGGGTGCAAGCATATTTTCAGGTGGTTGCTGCGCCCATCTTGCTTTATGCTGGGGAGATCACTGCCAGTTGCATCTAATTAAATGAACTATTGACATATTGATTGTGATTTAACATTAAAATTGTGACACTTAAAAGAGTAAATGAATTTTTAATCTTTAAAGGTTTTTCAACATTGTGTAAATTAGGATTTAGCTTGAGCTTTTTCAGATTATTTAATTGAAGCTAGCTATATTGATAGAAAATAACATATAGAATTCAAAGAACTTATAACTGATACTCTTCGTTATTAATGAGTGGAATTAAGTAATTTGCAACTTTACTCTGTTACTGTTTGTAATGGCCGATTTTTTTAAGGCACTTTTTTTTATTTAATTTTGCACCACTGTAATAATACTGTCACCACCCATTAATTTTCATTCAAAATTTTACCGCTCACTTTTGAAAAATTAGGGAGAACACTGAATATGCTATTAAATAGAAGAAACTGTGGTCTTTAATTAATGGTTACAAATGCAGATCAATTAAAAACATGACTTAAAATAACATGACTTTATGGAAACCATCTGATTTATAAAAAATTCAACATCACATTTAACAGCTCTCTCCATTTTTTAGTTTTAAAAGATGTACTGAATAGTGTTGAGTTGCCAAGCTGAGAACATCTTCCCAAAAATCTCTGCAACCTTATGCAGTCATCATTTCCATATCATCATTGCACACAAATATCTTTCTAACAATACATTCAAAAGAAAGGTGGACACATCAAGGACTAAGGCACACCCAAAGAGTACATTAAATCAACATAAAATGTAGGAAAATTCAGAATGAATATATATTTTTAATACTCACATAATAGTACATTTCCTCTTCTTAAACACCAGGACATCGCATCTCAGACATACATTCATCTTCTGAAAGTACAAAATGGGGTTCATAATTTAGATCTAAAACATTTGAGCAGCTCTTGCTAAGTTTGAGTATGTATGCTTGGTATTTTGATGCAATCCTCAATGGATTCACATGTTTCTCTCTATTAATCCATTCATTTGTTGAAATTAACAGATCTCTAAAACACTCAAATTATTATACTAGATTCCTCTTTTAAACTTAAAAAGTAGAAAACAGCAATTGTGAATAATTCCAAATGAAGTAGGATTATTTCAATCAATATTCCAACATATGAACTCTCACATAGAGAGACTGATTGAGAGAGTGAATGAGTTACTGAACTTCTGATTGAGAGTGAGATAATGACTAAGGAAGTAAGTGACTTACTAAGTGACTGAGTAAGTGGCTTGCTGGCTGGCTTGCTGGGTGGCTGGATGGCTGGCTTGCTGGGTGGCTGGCTTGCTGGGTGGCTGGCTGATCAACTCCACATTATGGAGATAAGCTTAAACATAAGTTAAGACGTAAGTTAAGACAAGAGATCTCTTAGGGAACTCGACAATACTGATTCTGATTGACATTTTTACTTGAATTTGTGGACAGCCCGTCCGTGGTCCCGTCCCCAAAAATAAGAAATCAGGAGACCATTGTGCAATAATATTTGGAAAAGTATATTGATATTGTACATGAATGACATTTGGATATTTCAGATTATTTAGTTTTTTTGTGCAATAACCCTGTGCCCTCTTATAATGAATTTCAGCCATGTTACAATGTATCTTTTTGAAAATACTATGGCAGAGAAGCACACATGCTATCTATTGCAAGACTTATGCCTAGCACAACTGTCACCATGTTATTAAGTGTTCTTAAGTTTCGCAAGGATCTTGCCATGGTGGTATTATCGTGAAAGCCTGGTATAACCGTGACAATGCTATATTATATTGCAAGGCCTGTCATGACTGTGGTAATGTTTAAGCCTGATATGACAGTCGCAATGGTTGCAAGGCCTGTCACGACCTTGGTAATGTTAAAGCACAATATGACTGTGACAATGGTTATATTAAATAGCATTTAGTAGCATTGCAAATTTCATAGAATGATTAACTACATTAAATATCTGAATCTAGACTTCTATACATGAACATGGTACTCACGTACATTGATACATAAAATTTTAGAATCATTTAACTCATAATTCATTTCCGAACACTATAATTCTAATCTCATTCAAGAACGAGAAACATTGTCACAGTCATATCAGGCCTTATTTATAATAAAGCACTGTCGCGGTCATATCAGGGTTTAACATTACCACGGTCATGACACTGGCCTTGCAATATAATATTACATTGTCAAGGTTATACCAGGCATTCACGATAACAGTACCACGGTCATGGCAGGATCATTGTGCAACATAAAAACACATGCTATCTATTGCAAGACTTATGCCTGGCACAACCGTCGACATGTTATTAAGTGTTTTTAGGTTTCGCAAGGATCCTGCCATGACCGTGGTATTGTTATCGTGAAAGCCTGGTATAACCGTGCCAATGCTATATTATATTGCAAGGCCTGTCATGACCGTGGTAATGTTAAAGCCTGATATAACTGTGACAATGTTCACGTTCTTGAATGAGATTAGAATTATAGTTTGTGGAAATGAATTATGAGTTAAAGTAGTAGTAGTATCCTAGATTTACATATTTAAGGTAGATAAATGATGACGTTTTCGATTACAGTATTCTCATGCTACTAAATGTCACTAATATAACCATTGTCACGGTCATATTGTGCTTTAACATTACCACAGTCATGACAGGCCTTGCAACCATTGTCATGGTCATATCAGGCTTTAACATTATGATGGTCATGACAGGCCTTGTAACCATTGTCACCGTCATATCAGGCTTTAACATTACCACGGTCATGTCAGGCCTTGCAATATAGTATAGTTACTTCGGTCCAAAGCCTTCTCTATATTCCGGCTTTGAGGAGGAAGATTGAGCTGCCTTAGTATTATAAAAATTGTAAATCATTGTGTCACACGCACAGTAAATATGGCATAATAATATGAAATATACCTTTATGTATAGATTTGAAGAACATCAGCTCACATCCCCGTCTGAATCTATTGTTATATTTGATTTCTTTAAGCGAGAATAATTTCAAATTTTATTCACGTCCAGAACCGGAAGCCATTTTTAGCTACAGCGAGAAAATTTCACCATGTGTCAAGCTCCGAAATGAAATTTTGACATATCTAAATCCAGACAAGCAACGCTTCATCCTAAATATGATTAATATTCTTAAAAATATTTATAAAATTTATTAAAAATGAGTTCTAGGTGCGTGTAGGTGCGTGTAGCACCTTTTCTAGAGTACATACGAAATCAATGAAGTTACGTCTAGCTGTAAGCTAGAGACTCGAGTAATAGTATAGTATTGTCACGGTCATATCAGGCTTTAACATTACCACGGTCATGACAGACCATGCGATATAATATAGCATTGTCACTGTTATACCAGGCTATCACGATAACACTTCCACGGTCATGGCAGGATCCTTGCGAAACTTAAAATTACTTAATAACATGGTGACGGTTGTGCCAGGCATAGGTCTTGCAACAGATAGGGTCTCCATAAAAATACTTGATAACATGGTGACGATTGTGCCAGTCATACATGTAAGTCTTGTAGATAGGGTCTCGAGAAGCATCAACATATAAGAGGCCACACACTTTATTAGCCAAACTAGAACTAATTCAAGATAAACGAAAGTCATTTATGTACAATAGGAATATATTTTCCATATATTTTTGCATAATGATATTTTAATTTCTTTTTTTTAGGTTTACTGACGCAGTGAAATTTTTTTGAAAATCAAAATCAATGGGCGATAATTCATCATACTCACTTTACGGGAAAATTACAAGTTTTATGCTGAATTTATAAGAAAAAATCATTACCCTGTTTGATCCTCGCTTAGTCTTGTTCACTTTGAGCAACTTCTTACCTTCAGATCGGCTATATTGATTACAAACTAACGGTACAAAACTTCCAGAAAGATATTTCGGCAAGATAGCACGGGTTAAGAGCGCTCTGATTGGTTGGATTTGTAGCACGGGTTAGGAGCGCCTCTATCGGTTGGACTTCGAACTAAATTCCAGCACGGGTGTGAAAGCCCAACTGTTCTGGGCTACCCAAGTGTTCTGTCTCTTGCCCAACTGTTCTGACAACCTAAGTGTTGCGAGTTCACATATTTTATAATATCTTAAAATTCACAAGAGAGGGTGCCAAAAGTTAAAAGTGCCACACAATGAAGAAAGAGAGCCAGAAAATGTCGAAAATTGTCCATTATTAGAAATACGCACCCATTTTTTGCAAAAGGCCAATTTTCCTGAACAAGTTGAGACATACTTAGTATTCCTGAAACTGAGACCCAGTCTACATATATCGATATATTCTGTCCAAATATCCTATTGCTCAGGAGTGTTCCATGGTGCAAAGGTCGAACACCCGGGGTTTTGACACTCCTCAATGGGTGCCCTGTTACACTCCCCTCCATAAGTTTGGCAACCTTAGCTCCCCCATTGAACTACGTGTTAAAAGCCTCTTTACCTTTGAATTTTTATTTACTTAACCTACCATGAAAATACTTATACTATTAACGGAAAGGTAATTTGACTTTATTTCCAATACCTCAACATTTTCTCAATTTTTTCCCTCAATTACAATAAGTTGAAAATTGATGATAAATTTGATGAATTTTTGAAAATCGACATTCCCATGTTAACCAATGGGAAATGATAGGTTTGCCGCAAGTCATATGACAGAATATCCATCCATCCGAGTCCTTGCAAAAAATACGAATAAGGCAGGCAATTGAATTTGTTAACTTTATTTAACAAAAAATTGACATGTTTCTTCAGGTTCAACAAAGTTATAGGGCTTTAAAGTCAAAATAGTTTTTCAAAAAACCTTTCCCATTGAAATAACTCAGGAGGCGAAAAATTATTTTCAAAAATGACTTTGAAGCGCTGTAACTTTAGTATTCATCAAATAAACTAAACACTTAGTGTACAAAAAAGTTAGACAATTCAATTTTCTATATAAATTTTTTTTGCTGAATCTTTTACTGAAAATATATCCTGATTTCTGATTTGCCCGAACCCTCCATTTCCCATTGAATTACATGGGAATGACGATTTTCAAAAATTCATTAAATTTATCATCAATTTTCGACCTATTCTAATTGAGGAAAAAATTGAGAAATTTTGGAGGTATTGAAAATAAGGTCAAGTTACGTTTCCATTAATATTATAAGTTATCTCATCGCCGGTTAAGTAAATAAAAATTCAAACGTAAAGAGGCTGACCAATGGGGGAGCTAAGGTTGCCAAACTTATGGAGGGGAGTGTAGTTATACATAAAAAAGGAAAATCTTTTGTGCATGAGACAGCTACATTATAAGTGATTTGATTAACTTAATGTCAACAGTCATCTCTGTAGAAATCTAAAATTGGATTAGAAATTGAAAAATCACCATATCTAGTGTATTTGCTAAAATAAGTAAACCCAGAATACTTGGGTCAATTCAGAATATTTCGGCAGGAGTCAGAATTCTTGGGTAGCCCGGAACACTTGGAGCTTCACACACGGGTTTGATCTGAGGCCCAGGGTTTGATCGAACCTCAAACCTGTGCTAAATTCTAGCACGGGTTTGATCAACCTCAAACACGTGCTAAACTTTAGCACGGGTTTGATCAACCTCAAACACGTGCTAAACTTTAGCACGTGTTTGATGTGTATCCGGCATCGAGTGCTTCTGATAAAAGGCCTCGAAGGGTGGTGTTATAAGAATTCTGGTAATTGTTGCATATTTTGCTTTACTTTTATTAATTTTTTTCACAGGGTCCATCGGACGCACACATACTGCAAGTACCGTCAGTACGCTAGATTTTGATTAGATTTTACACTCTTCATCGCATTAAACTTCACAAAGTTCATCGAATCCAATTATTTATGTCCAAACAAACATATAGGGCAGGCATTTCAACTAACTCAGTGCCAACCCCAAACCCCAATTTCATACAATAGTATAGTTTCTATATAGCTGAATAAATCTGAATAAAGCGTATATAATAGATGTCACCGTTGTTTGTCTTTTATTTCCTTGGGCTAAACTTCCATTGACTCCAATGCTCAAAACTTTTAAAAGTCACTTAATTTCATGATTTATCAAAAAGTGATGGTCGAATATGTCTCTAACTCGAATGGCATATTATTTTTCATGATATATTTCATTTCATGATTTATCAAAAAGTGATGGTCGAATATGTCTCTAACTCGAATGGCATATTATTTTAAAGAATTTTAGCGTTGCACCATTGGAGAATTGGCCCAATTTTTTAAAATGTCATGGAAAATGATTCAAACGGCTTAACTGTGTCAATCAAAGCTATTATAGGAGGAAACTTTCCACTAAATTCAAATATGCTATTAAAAGAAATAAAAGTAAGTCATTAGAGGAGAAAAGTGCAAATCGCTTAAAATTCTGACGCCTTTGATGCAAACGATGCGTTCATGATTTATTTGAACAATTGGCAGATAAAAATTGAGGCAACAGCTTGAAATGTTTTTAACGTAACCCCAGCACCGATGCCGAGGAGTTTTGAACACCGACCGCGAAATTCCACAGATCAATCTCTAGACGCATTAGGGACGCAAAGATCGTCAAAACAATCGTCAGGAGACTTCAATACTGGTGTCATTTAAGTCTGATACAGATGACAGCGCGGACGACGAACCCCACTATGAGAAAGGGCATAACATATTCCGATGTAAGCGGTCTAAACAATCGGGGCAGGATGGGACCAATCAACGACATTGCCAAAGTGCCAGTGGAATAGCCTCATTTTTATGTACACAGAGGTTCAGATTGTAAATCAGCTACGGTTTAACTGTCCACGATTTCTTTTTCTCCGGTTACATTGAAAGCAATGCCGCACACGATGCATTATCAATGCCGATGCATTGTCAATGCATGTGACGATGTACATCACTGCCACCGAGTCATGCTGGGTAAAATTGAACAAGGCATGCTCACGTGGTTTTTCATTGTTGGAAAATATTGATGTTCGTTCCTGGGAGCCAATCCTCCTTGGGCAAAATTATAAGAACAGACAAGACAACTTGATCGCAGAGATTCCCTAAATCTTCAACTAGTTTGTGAAGGATTATGTTGATGCTCGTTATACGGTTGGATTGAAAACCCGCCCGATATCATGATGTCACCTGATGTCCCCCATTCAGTCATTTTGCAAGAAAGCTGTGGCTCACCCGAATGAGCAATTATTGTGTTTGAGCATTCTCAGATTTAAAGATACATTGTGCTTTAGGTTTCTCTCCCGGAAAATCAGTGATGTCCTGTTAAAATTGCTTATACCTTACATACCTTAGATATATCATGAAACCCACGTGGGGGTATACTATTGCTGATATATTGAGAAAATCAACAAAACAACCAAATGAGTTTGCAGCAATGAAGGGATTCCCTGTCAAGTGACACTTAAGCCAATTACATTCAGAGTCGTTTTTAAATTTTCATAACTGTCATTTACGGAGTTCCCTTAGCCAAGTGTCTAAAATGATAGACAAAGGAGTGGTATCGATATGGAGAACTGGATTCAACAATGTTATTCTCTTAAACCAATCATTGAAAACATTCTGTAAAAAACACGGTTTTTTATGTAATGTTGACTGATTGACACAATTTAATGCGAAAATTGTTTTTGTTAACATTTTCTGTTTTTTAGTGCAATTCTTTTTGCTCCTTTCTACCAATTCTTGAGAATGAAATAAAATGTCTTTCCGAATCTTGTTGGAACAAAATAGCATATACAACATGTTTTAGACCTCTCAATAATATAGTTATACAAAGGAATTTTTGCTTGATTTTAAAAAAGTATTCAAAAAATTAAAACAAAATTCCCCCAAAATAGATAAAAATTTTCATTAACAAGATGCTTTTTAAAATCAACCAAAACATCCTTTGTACAATTACAATATTGAGAGACCTTAACATGTTGTGTTATGTCGTTTTGTTCCAATGAGGTTCGGAAAGATGTTTCGTTTCACTCTAGAAACATGGTACCAAGATGATGTGTTTTCTAAAACAATATAGATGAAAGTATATATTTATTTTTCAAATTATATTGTAACCATTCAAAAGATGACCATTAAATTGACGATGTGTTAAATTTTAGGTTTTTTATGACTGGTTAAGAGAAACGTGTGTTCAAAAAGTTCTCCATATTGATACCACTCCTTTTGGCCTTGTAAATCAATGCAAAATAGAAAACCATGAAAATGCATTCAATTTTGCATGTAAATTAACGTGCTTTGCATGAATTTGAACGGATGTCGCATGGACTTTGCATGGATTTGAATGGGTGTTGCATGGACTTTGCATGGATATGAATGGATGGTATGGACTTTGCATGTATTTGAATGGATGTTGCATGGGCTTTGCATGGATTTGAATGGATGTTGCATGGCCCATGCAAGTCCATGCAAAATTGCATGCATCTGCATGGGTTTATATGAAAACCATGCAATCCACATGGACATTGTATGGAATATTTCTCGCAGCCTGCATGGACTTTTCATGTGGATTAACGTGCTTTGCATGGATTTGAATGGATGGTGAATGGAGTTTGCATGGATTTGAATGGATATGGTGAATGGGCTTTGCATGGTTTTGAATGGACTTTGCATGTTTTTTTATGAATTAGTTTTAGATCTGCTGCATGGGTGTTGCATGGGTATTGCATGGAAACGTCGCATGGACTTTGCATGCACGCGGTTTTTCTAAGGGATGGAACCAATGGAAATGGCGACCACAAGTTTCTCTGCTATAACAAGTGAAGATACTGGACTTACTGAAAAAAGGATTCTGAAATCATAAAGCCCGACACCTTTCTGTGGCTCTATCTTGAACGACGACGACGACGGCGTTACTGGATATGCTGTCATTATGAAGATGATCGAATCCAACTTCTTATAGATCTTCATATAACTGACTGCTCATATGCATATTACTGTGAAAACAGGCCAACAGTCCATTCGTGGGATGGCACTTCCACAGATCATCAAAATGCATTCCTCGGAGCCCAAAATGTCCATTTGATATTAACTAAAGCAGATAACAGGAAAGTAAATCTTCACTACACACCCAGTTGGCAGAACTTTTGCAGAGAATTGATATTAACCCTCCACTCCCATAGACAAACCATAATATGATTGTGATGATGCGGGCTATGTAACAACTATGGCTTATTGTCGAGTATACATAAAAAGTAAGTATTACTTCAACGTTTTCGTTTTAAGATCGCAGCAATGGCAATAGATAGTTTTTTAATAAGACTGAGGCAATATGATTTTAGTCTGAGATGGCCACGATCTGACGATGAATCTCTCCAAAATCCAACAGAAGGTACTGGACTAACTGACAAAATATTCTCAACACTAGGGACGACATCTTTCCTTGCCCCTGCCTTATGGTACCCCGTCTACTAATGGACAACAATCACATTCGCGTAGACATATCAATCAATGATGCAGGATAGGGGCCCAAGAATAGCCTCAAACTCGCGCCTGTTAGAGCTGTAAACAATGCGACCTTTTCAGTTATATGCTTACCACTAATTATTCAAAATATCTTTACAAGGAGGTGATTGTTAATTGTAACTCATGAGCGTAACTAATGTAGTCCACGGATGAGATTCAAACTCCTGATATCGATGTAGTTGAATAAACCAATGTAGAACACACTTACTCGAGTCGCCAAATTATAATCATGGAAGGCTTAGACGAAGGTGAGTATTACACACCACTTATGTTGTTCTGTGATTGTTCTCTAAATAAAATTTCATTTGATATTAGTTTTACATTAACTCACAGTAAATACCTGTATTTCAATTACTTTTGTAACTTACTGCTGTTGTGAATAAAATTTTATTTATTTATTTTTATTTTTTTCAGAAAATACACGAATGATAAGATATGCAATTTTCTTGTTTATGAACTAACAATACAGCCTCCAATCTGCAAATTTTAGATTGATAAAAGAAAAATGACGAAATTTCAAAAACAACAGACGAAATAAAAAATGTACTGGACGCAAGCCCGTTAATAGCTTCAACAGCTTCCAGTCGGCAAATTTTAGATTTGAATAAATCGAAAATAGAAAAATGACGACATTTCATTTAGTATTACATACCCAGCGAAGCATTTGTATTCAAGTCAATGGAGCTGAAGGTCGGCTATATATTCCTGTATAGCCGCCAAACCTTTTACCATGACAATCTTATGACGTCATCGGGACGTCATGTTTCATTTCTTCCTAATTTCACTCGCACACAGACACGTGGCGTCATTGATATAACGTAGCCATGATATAAAAGTATGTAATACAACAGTTATATCCGTATCATTGAATATATGCCTTCGGTCTGTCGTAATATAACCCTCGCAAGCTCGGGCTATATTGGTGACAGACCTTAGGCATATATTCAATGATAGGGACATAACTGCTAACAATAGTTTGACTGTAACTGCATTTCACTTAAAAATAGTGTGCAACACTACGATATGCTTTTCTATTTCTTATTTATGTTAATTTCATTTAGGTTATACCTTTCAGATATCAATTTAACGGTGTGTTTTTTATGATTAGAGAACAGTCATTGGCCAATTCTTTTACCAGGAAGTTAATTTCAAATATATGTCCGATAGGCCTATACATTGTCAGCTATTTTTTATTGAATTTTGACAAATTGTTGAGATTCTTTATTTGTTTATCTGTGTAACTCGTTTCTTGCTAGAGGCATGCATGGTTATACTAAAAAAATAGTACCGAAGTACAAACACTGCACATAATGTTGACATTACAACCCGAAGATATTACCATATCGTACAAGGCAAGAATTAATACCCTGACGTCGTTCAAAGTGGATTACATTTAGAATGTGACAGTAGTAGATTCCTATAAACGAAAATGGCAGATCGCTGTTTGACAATTTGTGTCATAATGGGAATAGCAACTGTTATAGGAGGAGTTTTCCTGACAATAATCACCCCCTATGGATACTTTGGAGGTGTTTGTCTTATCACTTTTGGATTGACACCAGTTATATCAGGTCTTGTAATTTGGATAAGGACACAGAAAAAACGCAGAAAAGGACGCAGAAAAGGGACGCAGAAAAAACGAGCAAATCAACATTCTAATCCAACACGATTGACTGATGGCCCAACTAGAATTTCCCATACACCTCAAAACGAATCAGTTATGGAAGCAACAGAAAAAGCTATGAAACATTTATCTGCAAAGTCAACTAAGAATACTGACCTAACCGACAAAATGTTCCAAACTCATAGGGCACAGCAACGGTCCTTGCCCCCGCCTTATTGCGACCACTCTACATCTGAACAACGACGATACTCGCATGAATATTTGAAAGCAACAGAAAAATCAAGTAGATATCTCTCTCTAAGGTTCGCTAAGGATAGGCCTACTGGACTGACTAATACAGGATTTTCATCTAACGAGGCACAAAATCTTTCCTTGCCTCCGCCTTATGGTGCTCCGTCTACTTATGAGCAACGACCATATTTGCATGAATCGGTTATGAAAGCAGCTGAAAAATCAACCACTGAAAGGTCAACTGGACTCCTTGATAAAGGATTCTCAAATCACAAGGCACAGCAGATATCCATTCTTCTACCCGATGCTGCCCGTTATGATGCTACGCATGAACTTGATATGAAACCAATGGAAATAGCAACCATAAATCCCTCTGCTGGGTTAACTGAAGAAACTGGACTGCCTTACAAAGGTTTGTCAACTCACGAGAAACAACAGTTTGCCTCCCCTCCGCCTTATGGTGCGTCGTGTTCCATAGGCCAACAGGGCTATGTAACATTTATTAAAGTCGACTATACATAAACAGTAAATGTTGTTATATGGGCATAGATGATATTGAACCACAGACAAATCATCATATGATTGTGATCATTGATGCGGGACGGGGTAATGTAACAATTATTACAGTCGACATAAAAAAGTAAGTGTTAATACGACTAAGGCAATATGGATCTTTCTCTGAGTGATAAGATGATATTGACCGAGGGTACATTATCATAGTAAACAAAAATGTATGGACCGGAACATTGAAAGCAGGTGATTGCGGCATCATGCCATCCCAATTGACTCATTTAAAAAGTGTTGATAGAGACCGCCTGTCCAAGAAACATCTAAAGTAAAAACTTCAGTCTGTGACGATGATAAATTATTACCACCTTGTCGGGCCAGTTCTAGGGGTTTTAGTGCTAGCTAGTCAAGAAGGCATTAATGTTTCTATATCGACCTGAGCAATATGTGACGCCATGGTGGTGGTCAATATTGTCAGTCAAGAATGCAATTAATGACCGGCAATTTAGATATTAGATATCGTTCAGTGCGTAAGATTTTCTTGCTGTTTCAGTCCTGGTCATTAACGGTGGTAATAATACTAATAACGTCATTTCTGCCTTCGGCCCTCGGTCCAATATTTCACTATATTGCCCTTTGAAATGAAGTTATTGTACTATTCCATATTATAATATCATATACCATGAATATTAATATTCAATGTTGTTTTTGTTTAATTTATGATTTGTTATTGATGAATCAACAATTATAAAAATAAATAAAATGATAATATAAAAACAAGCAACAGCAAGGTACTGTCAGTCGAAAACATCAAATGTGTGTCGATATTCTCTTGCTACATCTCATTTTGACATGACACCTTGATTATTTCTTGGCTTTGCTTATTTAACATAGAGCTTCTAGACTAGACTAAAAATACCAAATGTTAGATAGAGATTTTATCATTTTTTGTCTTTCTTATAATTTAAATACAAACGTGTTATTATTTTCAGATTTTATGCTATATTTTAATGATCTTTCATTTTATTTTCTATGGATATAGACCCACTCATTGGTTAATTCCTTAACCGGGAAGTTAATTTTAGATTGTGCACCATAGATCGCCAGCTATTTTTTAAATTGTTGAAAGGTTGACATTGTATATGGGAGTGTAAAGTTTTTTTTAACTACTGGGTGGGCCAAAAACCAATACCCAACTTTAAATCAGGTTAAAAATAGTTGATTTTGTGAATAGTGTAATATACCAAATTGTTTCAAAATCTTCAACCTTAAAAATGATATATTATTCAATGTACAATATTGAACGAAACTATTTTTATCCTTATTTGAAGTTGGGTATTGTTTTTTTGCCCACCCTGTTTTTATACCTATCATGACGAGAAAAAATGGAATGTAACCTTGAAAGCGTTTTTTAAGCAAAAGCTACATAGTGTATCAGCTCCACATGGTCCTATTAAACGAGGTACCAACGTGAAATGATTGCAATAGGAAAGTAGGCAAGAATTCAGACTCTGTAGTTTTATGTGAATTTCAACGAAAATGGCAGATGCCCAATGTTTTTGTACACGCCCATGCGTGTTTATCACGGTTGGAATGTTATTTGTTATACTAGGATTTGCAATGACAATCCACTGTATTTTTCATTACTGTGTACTCCTAAGCACTGACTTTATTCATGTTATTGGTCTCATGGGTTTTGATTGTTAATAGTTCGATGAAATTTCATGACCAGATAAACTCATTCCACACACCATCTACATCTTTCATTCTGGCACAAAAGATGCATTAGTGTACCTATTAATTGAGGGTTGATAATTCTTCAGAATGTTTGAATATCCAGTGTCCAAAAAGATCCAAAAGGCACTTTATAGCCAGAGGAAAGAGCAAATCAACATACTGTTTTGGGCAACACAAATAATGGTCAGGTGCAACTGGGATTTTCCAGCCTCCTTCTTCCAATGAACCACGACGGAACATGCATGAATCAGTTATGAAAGCGACAGAAAAAGACACGATAAATTTCCCTGAAAATTCAAATGAAGATACTGGACTCACTAACATTGAATTCTCAACTCGTATGTCACAAAATCTTTCTCCGTCTCCGTCTTATGGTGCTCCGTCTACTGGTGAACAACGACCAAACAGGCATGAATCTGTTAAGAAAGCAAAAGGAATAACAACCATTAATCCCTCTGCAGGGTCAACTGACGATACTGGACGGATTGACATAGAATCCTCAACTTGTGGAGCACAATTACTTTCCTCGCTTCCGCCTTATTGTGCCCAATCTACGTTTGAACCACCGACATACTCGCATGAACTGGCTATGAAACCCATGGAAATAGCAACCATAAATCTCTTTGCAAGGTCATCGGATGATACAGGACTCTCAACTCAAGAGGACTCTCCTCCGCCTTATGGTGCACCATCCACTTTTGAACCACAACTATACTCGCATAAATCTGTCGAGAAACCAAAAGAAACAACAACCATTAATCTTTCTGCGAGGTCAACTGACGATACTGGAATGAGCAACACAAGATTCTGAGCTCGTGAGGGACAACAACTTTCTCTGCCTCCGGCTTAAGGTGCCTCGATTTCCGATGAACAACGTCAACACAGACATAAATCTGTTGAGAAACTAAAATAAGCAACAACCATCAATCTTTCTGAAAGGTCAACTGACGATACTGGTCTGAGCATCGCAAGATTCTTAGCTCGTGAGGGACAACAGCTTTCTTTGCCCCCGCCTTATGGCACACAGTCTACTGATGAACAACGTTAACAGACATAAATCTATCGAGAAGCCAAAAGAAACAGCAACCATTAATCCTTCTGCAAGGTCAAATGACGATATTGGAATGAGCAACACAAGATTCTAAACTCGTGAGGCAAAAAGGCTTTTCTTGCCTCCGCCTTATTATGCCCCGTCTATTGAACCAACGCACCAACTGGATATGGTACAGGGTGTTAAAAAAAACGCAACCCAAAGAAATCGCTCTATCTTGGAAAATACTTATCGAATTGCACTCATTTTTTCAGGAAAGAAAGAAGAGACTGTGTATGTAGAGCTCCTGTAGTTATTTAGTTGTAACACATGAAGCCTTGGACACCTGCTCAAAAGACATTAGTATTAAAAAGATACGAAAAACGCAGTCAATTGTGACTGTCACAGCAATAAAACTGAACGACTTTGTAACCATAGTGTTTTGGCACTTCAGATTTGGCACAAATTATCCCCATTCAATGGGTGGTGAATTTGTGGAGTTTCATCAAAATCACTCCAGGGACTTTACAGTCATGGTCAAAATACCTTCTTAAGTTTGCCTGAACCAGGGCGTTTGACTGGGTTTTGAACGCATTTTGACCATAAGTGTAAAATCCCTGGAGTGATTTTGATTTCACTCTACAGATTTACCATACTTTGAATGAAGATGATTTGTGCCAAATTTGAAGAGCTAAAACACTATGATTAGAAAGTTATTCGGTTTTATTGCTGTGGCAGTCACCCCTGACTGCGTTTTTCGTATCTTTCTAATTCTAATGTCTTTTGAGCAGGTGTCTAAGGCATCATGTTTTATAATTTACCAACTACAGGAGCTATACATACACAGTCTCTTCTTTCTTTCCTGAAAAAATGAACATGATCGCATTAGTATTTTCCAAGATATAGCGATTTCTTTGGGTTGCGTTTTTTTGAACACCCTGTACCAATGGAAATAGCAACCATAAATCACTTTCTACTGTAGGCCAACCAGCATTTAAATTAAACTGGTAATGAGGCAAGTGTGACATGAAAACCAAGGACCAAATCAAGACAGCTATAACAGCAATACCCTGCCATATTCATCTTTCGTAAACTGCCCTCAATATGAAGATGATAGAATCCAACTTCTTAAAGATGTCGATTTAATTGGTTGTTTAGTGGGATTAACTAAAAAACAGGCCAATGTTTCATTCATAGAATGTTACATGAAACTTTCCACGTATCATCAGAATACTATTCCTTGTCATTGAAGAGCCAGAGCTCTAAAACATCCATTGGACAATACCCAGCTTGTTATAGGTTATACATGTCATGTACATATGTAGAGTATCTAAGGTAAAATAACAGAGGTCTTTAACCTGAAAGTGAATATAATTAAATCATGTTTCAAATTCATTTAAAATTTGTCCTAGCCGTCTACGAGCTTCACATTCGGAATAGTTGGTTTTGCTTCTATTCTATTCATCATCTTTACACGCTCCTCCGTCACAGTAATACAAGGGGCGATCCAGATATTCTGATAAAAATGCTATAGTAAAATAATATAGTATAGCTATATCTTAAATTATATTTGAGATAAGGTTGCCATGGTAACCTGTATTTATGGTAGGCGGGTCAGTTAAATTATAACGTATAAAATATATAAATTTGTTAATTTAATCATTCCTCGGTACCTATTTCAAGCAGATCAAACGCATATCCAGGCAATTGCCAACTATTCGTTGAACTGCTCCATACCCCTGTTGCCCTTGTTTGCTATTTCCACAGTGGAATAGTTCTTTTTTCATAAATTGCATCTCAAATTATCGCAGTGTTCTCTGTCCGCAAGCTCTTCTTGCAACAAGACTGGGAATGATATTCAACAGTGACTAGCCTTCCTCAAATTTACAATACTACCTAGAGATCCTTAGAGCAGATATAACACCTTGTCCATACACTATACGAGTCCATGTATGTCTCTGGCAGAGTCCTCTTACTTATTCTTGATAGTGCATAAAAGCTAGTGGTACTCCTAATGTATATGTTAATGTCACACTCTGCAACAGCCGCACTAACCTCATCTGATCTGTCATTTTGATGTTCGGTGTGTCTCATGACATATAATTCCAATTTGCCCATCCTGTCATACATAGCTATTGTGAGTTGTTGTGATGTTATGGTGATCACGAATAAACATTTCCTTAGCAACAAACAACGAGAAACAATACCAAACTTATTTTTAAAAAATGTATGATTCCGCATGCTTTAAAATAATTAAAATAACAAGTTATTATGATATTGTATACGTTATAATTTAATTGACCTGCCTACCCTTAATACAGGTTACCGTGGTAACCATATCTCTTATTAATTTAATTTAAGATGTAACTATAATATTTGAGCATTGTATGTGTAATAACATAATCTACATTTCCTAAAATATGGAAGGGATATGTGAAAAATAGCAAAATGAGAGCATTTTTATCAGAATATATGGATCGCCCCTTGTAGATAGGCGCGTAGCTGCATCCATGACTTTAACGAGTTTTGAATTAAATGGACAGTTTTATATAACTTCTTTCGTTTGGAAAATAAGGGACGAATAGACATTTAGACGAAATACGAGTAAATGTATGATCCTTGCAGCCATATCTTTTTAGTCCAGGGTATCTTGACTTTTTAAAGGTATTTACCTTAAGAGTAGTTAAGCGTAAGTAACCAAGTATGTGAAACATTTTCTAAAATGAATATTTGTGAAGAAATTCACGCAATAATTTAGGCCGTTATGATGGGTTATATCTTCCACCAGGAAGTTAAATTCTAAATGGTATATGCACGATACATTGTTAGCCACTTTATATCAACTTTTTGAAAGATAGACACAATGTTTATGTGAATATAACGTTATTTTCTCATTTATACCTAGATCCATCCATATAACATGATACACAAAAAGCTATGGAATGTAACTTTTTTTTATTTATTTATTTAGTATTTAAGTCAGTGGCTCGGTCAACTTGACATTATGAGCCATTTTTACAAAAATATAGGAGTTGACGTACATCGGTGTTACATAGTTGAAGGTATACAGCCAAGTGAGGCTCGCACGACTAGTAGCATGTTGGTGGTGCTCTAAAGAATGACTCAACGGTTAGAAAATGCTATGTCTAGATATTCAGCAAATGATTTGATGATACATGAATTTTCATTTTTATTACAGAGATGATGACCAAATAGTATTTAAAGTCTTAGCCTTATTGGCTCGAGTTAAAGAGTTAAACTTTATCATTGGATTTTCACGTGTTATTTTATCATTAAGCAACTTGAAATCATCTACATGGAGGGGGCATCTGAAAAGAAAATGGTTGAGTGTTTCTGATTCTAGTTCGCAAGCGCACATTGGGGAATTAACATTGTTTAAATTATGTGAGTGTAGTTGCGCTTTGAGGACTAGGTCGCATCGGAGTTGGTTCAAGAGTTTTTCCCGATGTCTAGTAAGATTTAATGAAAAACTTGCTATTATAGGAGTTGGTAGTGATTTGGAGGCCATTTGACGTTTAAATGTATCAAGTGTGTTTGATTGTTTGATTTTCAGAGGTAGATCATTCCATTCTTTTATACTTCTGTAAACACACGATTTTGATTTAATAATAGCACGTTTTGCGGGGAGGATATATGATGGTTTGTTGCGAAGAACGCGTCTATTGTCAGGACGTTGGAACTTTCTGAAGATGTCAAGTATATAATTTGGACTATTTCCATTTGTGATACTATACATCATGTTCATGCGGCGGTGGAATCTTCTAGTTTCGAGCGGTAACCAGTTTAGGCACTTGAGGACTTTGATTGAGCTAGATCCTGAAATGGTACCGGATATAATAATACCAGCTTTGTACATTAGTGAGTCAAGGGATTTTAATTTGTTTATATTTGCGCAGCCATAGATTATATCACAAAATTCAAAGTGTGGCCTTATGTATGTATTGTAGATGTTTAATAGGTGGATACCATTAAGTTTTGATTTTAAGACTTTCAGGGGATTAATGTAATGTAACTTTAAATTATAAAAACACAAAATCTACATATAAAAAAATCACCCATGCCTTAGGCCTTACTGAATGTCGGGGTAACAAAAGCGTGAACTGATTGCCATAGGAACGTAGGCAAGAATTCGGACTGATGTTTAAAGGTGGATTTCAATTTCAACAAAAATGGCACATGGCCACTGTTGTCGTTCACTTTTGGCAATATTTATGATATTAAGTTTAGCATGGACTTCTATCACCATCAGATGTTATAGGGGAAAGTGATGCTACAGCTCCCCGCTGCTTACATAACAGGTGTTAGTCTAACAATCATTGGATTGTTTTTTTATAAGGAGACATATGCAGGTGAAACGAGCAAATAAACAGTTTAATTGAACACGATCGATTGATGACGTAACTGAGATTTCCTATCCTCCTCACAATGAACAACGACCATATTCGCATGAATCAGTTATGTAAAGCAACGGAAATGGCCATGGTGAATCTCTCTGAAATATCAGCTGGGGATACTGGACTGTCAAACATAGGATTCTCAGTTTGTAATGGACAACAGAGTTCCTTGTCTCCTCCCTCTAGTACCCCGTCTACATGTGAACAACGACCACATACGCATGAATCGCTTATGAAAACAACTGAAATTTCAATCATAAATCTTTCTGAGAAAGGATTCCCAAATCATAATGCACAACAGTTATCCATGCCCCTGCCCCCTATGTAACAACTATTGCAGTAGACTATATTACATAAAAAGTAAATGTTATTACTCTGGGTAACAAGGGTAACTGGGTACTCTGGGTAACAAGATGACAAGTTGGACCATAAACAAACCACCATATGATTGTGATGATGCGGGTAATGTAACAACTAATGCAGTCGACTTTACAAAAAAAGTAAATGATATTACATGGGCATATTGCCTGGGTCACATTTGCTCCGATTCATCGGCAGGCAAAAAGCAAACTTTGAAAAAGTAACTTTGAAAGCAGGTTATCATCCAATCCCAAATTGATCTATTTAAAAAGTAAATCATGAAGACTGTCCTTGAAACATTTAAAGAAAAACTTTTCAATCTTTTGACACTGATTAAATTTTATAATAAAACAAATATTAATTGTTAATGGTGTTTAATTTAATTTGTCATAACATGCTAAATGAATCAGAAATAATATGATAATTAACAAAATAGCAACAGGCTTGCAAGGTATCGAATGTCGCAGATGATGTTCTCATATTTAACAACTGTGTCGATATCCTCGTGCAGAGCTATGTCATTTTGAATAACAAACATCGATGCATTTGAATAATTACCACCTTGGTGTTTCTAGGTTTTGCCCCTTTGATTTGGAACTTTTAGTCCAAAATTATCAAATGATAGACTCTGATAATGCTCTTTTATTTCTACTGAAATTGTGGCATTTATCATTTTTGTTTCTCATGACTATGCATTCCGGGCAAGAATAAAAAGTTAGAAATTAAATAGGGTTATTCTTTTCAGATTTTACGCTATACTATTGTTAAGTTGTTTTAATGGATAGACAGTCATTGCTCAATCCCCTAACAAGGATGTTAATTTGGAATAGTGTAAAATGTATTGCCAGCTTTTTTATTGAATCTTTGACATGTTGACACTGTTTATGGGAGTAGGCCCTATACAGTTCTATGTGATATGACCCGTTACACACTACACGCGTACATCGTTAAAGTAGAAAATATGTTTGATACTTATTTTTAAAAGCGAAATCTACCGAAAGACCAGCGTTGCACATACCAACTGAAACTGGTTTCATTTAGATTGTTAAAGTAGTAGATTTCCATAAACGAAAATGGCAGATGGTCACTGTTTCCATACAAGCTTGACTATATGTATTATAGTGGGATTAGCAGATGTTGTAGGAGGAATTGTCGTAATAACTATACGCCCCATTTCCACAGGTGTTCTTCTAGTGATATTCGGATTGTTTATACTTGTATTGTGTATTTTACTTTGGATAAGGAGACATAGGCAGAACAAACGAGCAAAGCTACAGTCTAATCTTGCACAATTGACTGATTCGGGCAACACGATTGCTAACGCAACTGAACCACGACAATACACGTATGAGTCTGTCACTAAAGCAACAGAAACAGCTATGAAAATTCTTTCTGAAAGTTCAAATAAAGACACTGGACTGACCAACATAGGATTCTCAACCGATGAGGCACAGCATCTTTCCTCGCCTCCGCATTCTGGTACCCTGTCTACGTCTGAAAAAACGACTAAATATAAACCAATGAATACATCAATCATACATATCGCCGCTGAAGATGCTTGACTGACTTACAACGGATTCTCAACTCATAAGGTACGTCAGTTTGCCTCCCATAAGCATAATGATGAACCATCTGTCATTGGCCAACCGGACTATGCAACAACTATTGCAATCGGCTATACATAAAAAAGTACTTACAGTAAGTGTAATCACTCCGAGTGACAAGATGATATTCACTGGTGCCCACCTGGTTATAGAGACGTTACGTCTTCATAACAATAGGATGTACTTCCGCCGACAAAAAATTGTGAGCTTTTTTAATTTCATTATCTTCACCAACAAAGAAGTCGATTTGCACTTCAATACTTCACCCATGTGTTAAGTGTAGGCTCCGGTTACTGGAAAGCTAGTCTGTCACAAGCATATGCACCCAGAAGCTCCAATAATCGAGTGAGAATCCCCTCACTTCAGCAACCAGGACGTTAACATTATGCAATCAAGACGCTACTAAGTTATGCTCTCTGGGTAACCAGGACGTTTGAATTTGGTGTTATAGATTTGTATATATCGATCAGAAATCACTGAAAATATTTTAAATTCTAAATGTATCTGTGAAGACGCTGGCACATCAGAAAATACACGCAATACAAATATTACACTGACAGAAAATTATGGAAGTGCCGAAACCCGCCTAAAACATGATTTTAAGACAATTAATTTACGCCTCAAAGAGCAGTGAAATTAGGGATAGGATATGAACATTATGCACAATAAACACATTTATATATCACAATCACTATTTTGCAAAGGATTGGTATTGATATGGAGAACTGAATTCAACAATGTTTTTCTCTTAAACCAATCATTGAAAAAATTCTGTAAAATAACACGGCATTTTATGTAATTTTGACTGATTGAAAAAAATTTAATTCTAAAATTATATAGAAATATTTTATATAACTGTTTTTGTTAAAAAATTTTGTTCTTTATAGTGCAATTGTTTTTGCTCCTTTGTACCAATTTTTGAGAATGAAATAAAATGTCTTTCCGAACCTTGTTTTTAGACCTCTCAATATTATAGTTATACAAATATTTATCCTACACTTAAGTGTAAAGTAACTTAAATGTAAAGTAACATTAAAAATAAATTTGATATCTATTTGCAAAATGAGTAACTGGACGATAGTGTGACAATATACTCCAGAAAACTCCAGACAAAGTACTCCAGAAAACCAATTTGCGGAGGATATTGTGATGATAAACTCAGAAAAATATATCGTCAGGATATCAATATCACCACGTAGATGAAAATGATATTCTTCAAAATTATAGGATATCCGATAAATATCGCATCCCCTCTAATACTGAGCCTTCTTTATAGAATATACCAGTACCTATTTGAACCATTGGTTTTATTTTGATAAAAATGTATTTTTCGAGTGAAACAAGTTGGGCAAGGTTGTTTACTTTGTATGTGCCATTGTTCTGAAAGTGTCCAAGCCAATTAATAAATAAGAATATTATATAGCATCGAGATATAAATAAATTATTGTTTTCTAGATCCTCCATTTACTCCATCTACCGATTCACCTGCCCCAGACCCATGCAAAAAGTTTGCGTCATCCCAGAGAAATTGTTCTATCCCTATGTCAGAGTGTCATCCTTCAAACAGACGATGCTGTGGCTGTCCCTTTATGTTTATGGACCCAACTTCAAAGGTAGATCGATAGAGATATTTATTTGAAAATAAACCGGCGCCAATTCAGTTTAAATACTTCTCACTTGGAGAAAAGAACTACCAATTTCCGGGTTACAAAGAAGGCAAATGTTTATGTGAGGACTGTGTGAGAAGATCGTATTACTGCCTTCCAAAGGAATCTAGAGAAATATTAGGATACGGGAAGCCATACTTCAATTTCTTCCACCCATTACTAAAAAGGATGAAACCTTAGAGTAGTGTACATAGCTATATGTATATATATTTGTAATAAATCAAATTGTCCAGTGAAATAAGGATTATTGTATTTGAACACTGCTGAAGTAATTTATCTTAAAAGCGAAGACCCAACATTTTTTGGTCTCCCAAGGTTTTTTTCTTTAAAGGTCACTGTATTTAAATGAAAAGGAAAATAAATACCTTGGTTCAAGTACCACCAATGCTTTACAACCATTATTGTTCCGAGTAATTTTGACATACATATTGCGCAAGAAATTTAGTTGTACTAAATTACAGTTGACTAACAAGTCATGCACAATCACAATTTCGCTAATTAAAGGTTGTACAATTTCACTTACTTACACATGTGGCTAACGTTCATGTATTACTTAACAGAACGCGAAGCCTAACGGAAACGTTCCTATGATTACATGAGCGTAAAAACACACCTTCACGATTTGTAACCTCTCTTTTTTCAATCAACTCAACTCGAGGCATACCCATAATCACCCTTGGTACCACAGCTAACGAAAATTGACCGGTACGGGTCAAAAGCTGGACCGGTACGGGTTAACGGTTTTATTTGAATTTAAAACAGCCATAACTTGCTCAATATTGACTTCCTCGTGTCTAATTTGAAATATATGATGCCTCCCGATGCTTTTAAGTACCCCAATTTTTTACAGATTTTTAAACGGACCAAAACTCTCTAAATGCGCATTTATGCTCTTTTCTCTCGAGAAAGATTGTCTCATTTTCACGATAACTTTTATTTAGTACTTCTAACATATAAGATCTATTTTCCCCATCAAGGTATGATGTAAATGACATGCTATTTACATCTTGTGAGTTTCAATGACGCGCGTTTGATTTTATAAAAAATGCCAAACTTTGTGACAAAGAATTTCATCAGCTATTGCCCCGAACCGGTCCGTCTTCTCGTTGCAAGCAGATTTCCCCGAACCGGTCCGTCTTCTCGCTGCAAGCAGGATGAAATTCGTTCTCGAGAGAAAAGAGCATAAATGCGCATTTAGAGAGTTTTGGTCCGTTTAAAAATCTGTAAAAAATTGGGGTACTTAAAAGCATCGGGAGGAATCATATATTTCAAATTAGAAACGAGGAAGTCAATATTGAGCAAGTTATGGCTATTTTAAATTCAAATAAAACCGTTAACACCGTACCGGTCCAGCTTTTGACCCGTACCGGTCAATTTTCGTTAGCTGCGTATACCAAGGGTGATAATAGTAATAATATTATATAAAGACAGAGAATGCTCTAAGTGTAGATAAAGACATGTACCAGACACAGATGGTTCATGTGCAATAATAATATAATTCATGTTTTATGATTAGATGGTTTTATTCATGCTAGTTAAATCCTGAAGTTATCCAGGTATTTGTGGTCAAAGAAGCCACAATGTCATTTAAATCAATATTCTAGTTTATATTATATTATAAAGTTTATTCTAGTGTTAATTGTTACAATATATAATTGCCTAGATAAAATACAATAGAAACATACTTAGTCAATATTTTTTATCATCGAACCATCTCTTGTGATATAAACATAGACAGGGTCAAATACAGGTACGTCTCACGTTATTAGTTTCCTTTTAACCATATTTTAATTAGGGGGACCAATATATTTGGCGGCTTTTATTTTGCATGGGCGCATGGGAAATTGTCTAGGTAGGAAAACTCAGGTTTTTTATGATTGCATTCTGATATAAAACGTCACAATTTTAATATTTCTAAATATGTTATAGTTGTACATAGCATCTTATCACGTGACTTATTTACCATTAGACAAACTCCAATCGATTATAATTACGTGCACACGTGGTTGATTTGTGGTACCCATGTATCTTGTTCGGTTATGTCACGAATACACATTTTGATAGATATTTAAAAAGCACATTTCATCACATCATCTAACCAATGGTGTACCAGTATGGATTATGTTTCTAAAGTATGGGGTATGGGCTAGGCCAGCATCTACTTGGATTTTAATTGACTAGCTATAGCTGATCCGTCAGCTATCAAAATTATTCTCAAGCTTACTTACAACTTTTCAGTTGCCACCCATTCCCCACCACCTCCCACGGTTCTTAGCCCTATTTTCAAAAATAACGTTACATAATGGTTATGTAATCCATTGTGTAAGATTATGTAATATTATATGATAGTAATAAAGATTATCATCATTATAATTTGCCAACAAACATGAGTTGTTATGTCAACTAGTTATATATTCTTGCCTAACCCTGAGTGCCAAGGAAACCAAAATGATCCAGCTACATAAATGCAAGTTACGTCTCCTTTCGAATGCATGTATGATGCATTTGCTCACACCACATACTACACCTCTTTAAAATTAAGCCCAAATGCCAACGAGAACACTGAGCTATAACATTTACAATTTGATTTTACCTTACATACTTAAAAGGTAAAGAAATCCTAACTATTCTATAAATTATATATATGGTTTAGTTTAGAACTAATGAATATCTGTGTGAAGTATGTGAAACTTTATGGCGGGTAAAATTATACATGTATATTTGTAGAAATGCAAATATGCCAATAGCAAGATCTTGGTAATATCTATTTGCTATCTTCGTCATAAATGGTTATTGAAATATAGATTAACGTTTTTATGTCAGAACACCAATCGACAAAATCAAATTCACTTCCAAATGGTATTTGATAATATATGAATGTAAGTGCCTGGAGCTTTTCGCCCGCTCTGTATATGTCTATTTCTGGTGATTTCTATTTAGAAGTGTCAATATGCTGAAGCTGATAGCACTAGGGTGTCTCTTAGCATTTGGTTTGGTGGTATATGGCCAGAAGATAGTATGTAAGTATGCTTGTTTGTCACTTAATTTGGCACGGGTGCATACATAATATATACGTATATATACTTCAATGAGGTACTTGAATTAAATATTAAAAATTAATTCAATTTATTTTCAATGATGTTATTTATGTTTTTTTTTGTTTTTTATAGTGGAATGTGGTGTGGATATTGTCGTTATTTTGGATATATCCTGCAGAATCACTCCGCCAAACAAAGACATCTTGCGTGAGTTTATGGTTAACTTTGCAAATTCCTTGGATATTGGACCTTCAGATGAGAAAGTGCAAGTAGGATTTTTAGATTTTCATTGGTGTTTGTTGCTCTTTTATCATTATATTAATCAAGCGTAAATTTAATTACTCGATACAAGAGAAATTGCAATATTTACGCACAGGATAGCAAGTGTCGTGTAACAGTCATTTAGTAGGACTTTCTGTTTATTGATATTTCTTGTAAAGGGTCGTATGCTTAGGACATATTGTCAAGATATATAATTAAAAACCTAATGGGCGGTTTTGTAGTTCTTATATTCAAGCATACTATTTGAATGAATACTTGTTAAATGCACGTGTCTGCTTGTTGTTCAATGGGAACGTACATTTGCATGTTAAATCTACATGTGATTAATTTCAGATGGGCCTTATAACATTTGATAGATTTGTCTATGACGAATTCTTCTTAAATACGTACAATTCGTCGAGTGAAATAGTGAATCACATAGAAAGAATGGATATTCACCCCTTCAATGACAAGAGGTCGAGATGTGGTGGTTCAAGAACAGATTTAGCTCTCGTATCAGCTAAAACATTGCATCTCACAGTTGCTAAGGGTCTTCGTATTAGGGATTGGGATTGGGATTTTGGAATAATTTTTCATCAAATGCAAAAGATCGTACTGATTATAACTGCTGGTCCAACGTTTCCTCCATCTAAAGTCAAGAATACCATAAGATACTCAAAGGAGCTCAAACACGATATAGGACCTAAGATATTCGTGGTTAGCTTATCAGACGTATTCACTGAGAGACATAGCTGGTCAATGGTTGAATATAGTGCCATCGCCAGTCAGCCTTCGCAGGAGTTTGTTATCAATATCGACGGTTTCCACAATTTGCTTGTTTCCTTGGAAGAAATCGTGGGCGATTTTTGTGGTAAGAAGTAATGATTCTCGTTAACTTTTACTTCTTTAATTTTCATCTGATTTGCTTTCAATTTCTTTTCATCTTCTTTCTTAAGTATTCCTTTCTTTGGGTATATGCATCTCCCTTGTCACCGCTTGTGTTAATTCATCTAGTATACCATTCTAATACTCAGACCATCTCTGCCATGCACGAGAGAAGGCTGTGATATCTCACGATGCTTGTATACAGGATGGCAAAACGATCGCCTCCGTTCTCATACCAAGCCTTCTGTCTACCTATCCATTCGAACTTTTGGTTTTATTTTAATAAAAAAAACACATCTTTGCACAGTAAAACGTTTTAACTTGAACCATTCAATTACTTTTAAGCACCTGAACTTAATACTATTTTCAATAACTCAGATGCAAGTAGGTAGTTACCAGTTTAACCAACATGTGCCTCCTGTTATCTCAAAATCTGCTTGGAAATATGCCATTGGATTACTATGGAAAATTCCTCAAAGAGAAAATTCTTTGGATAAAGGAACTTAAACTAACGAGCCAACGACAAGAAGCAATGAGAGATAAATGGTTTATTGTTCTCAGGATACTGAAATAACAGCAAATAGCATCGAGAATTGAATAAATTATTTCTGTGTAAATTCATCACTCTGGTAATATATTAATAATAACTAAACATTTTACTCTGAAGTAAATTAACTTAAGTTATTATAAATAAATTATTGTTTTTAGATCCTCCATTTACTCCATCTACCGATTCACCTGCCCCAGACCCCTGCGAGAAGTTTGCCTCATTCAAGAAAAGTTGTTCTATCCCTATGTCAGCGTGTCATCCTTCAAACAGACGATGCTGCGGCTGTCCATTTATGTTTATTGACCCAACTTCAAAGGTAGATCGATATTTATATTTATTTGAAAATGCCAGAGCGCCTTTGCAGTTCTAATACTTTTTATGTTGGGGGTAGTAGTAATAGAACTAACAATTTCTGGGTAAACGTCACATTCGTTGTTTATTTTACATGGGTTAATATTTTTACTTTACAGTTTTCTTATTACAGAATGAATCAATAAATAAAATTGACAAAAGCATCCATGTAAAGGCTATTATTCATTCAACTTTTGCAAGATGATGTTTTTCGCTTCTAGTCTGTGAAAACACCATTTGAGTTGGCTTACAAAGAAGGCAAATGTTTATGTGAGGACTGTGTGAGAAGATCGTATTACTGCCTTCCAAAGGAACTTAGAGAAATATTAGGATACGGGAAGCCATACTTCAATTCCTTCCACCCATTACTAAAAAGGATGAAACCTTAGAATGCTGTATATAAATATTTGTAATAAATTGAATTGTCCAGTGAAATGAATGAACACTTGTCAAGCAGATTTCTTTGATATTGACGTTTTGGAATCACAGAGAAAATTGAGTTAAAGATACTCTATTGAGACTGCTCTGTGGCATTTTTTCTTTATTCCTTTTTGTTTTGAATTTTTAACACCATAACATAAACTAACTACTCAATATGCAACTTTTCACCACGTAGAATTTTAAAATATTAAGTTTGAAAATTCCATTTTTATAATGGAGCTCAATGGGAAAAACTACATAATTTGAATTATTTTCAAACGTAGCGGCGCGATTTTGATAAAATTGACAGATATAATAAATATTGGTAAGACGAAATGTTTGATGAAAAATGAAGAAAATTCACCGTCCTGGTTACGCAAACTATAGAAAAATCTGAAATAATCATAAAAACCTGTAAAAATAGATTGAAGGGGGTGATATTCATTTCTAATGTGCCTTTCACTACTACAGGGTAACCATAATTTTGGTACTGATTTGATTTTTCAATGAAAATCATTTCTATAGTGTATAGTCAGTTTAAATAATACAATTGCTATATTTCTTTACTGAACAGTGCAATCATTTATTTATTTATCAACAGTAATGCAAACTACATATTATACAGTTAGTAAAATATTAAAATAATTCTATTAAAATTAAAGCATTGAGATGATACTTAAATAATTACATATTATATTGATAGGCATATTATATTATAGGATTTAAGCCAATGACTCAATGCATTGTAGATGATTAAATTTAACATATGTCCTGATTCTAGACTATGAACGAGGGTGGTAGTCCAAATTCAAAGCCTAGACTAGAAGAAAGTGAATTAAAGCATCCACTATTCATTGAATCATGTGCTTTAATTCAATTTCACACATTGCAAAATATTTTTTACAATTTCACTTAACAGAATGATATTTTTTCAAAGATATGTTGTACTTTTAGAATCATTTGCTTCAAAGAATTGAACTATGGCGGCCTTTACTCGTTATTTTACGATTTTTGCTGTAACTCGAAAAGTAGTCGAGCGATTTTGTTCATATTTGGTATATGAATACTGTAAGCATGGCACACTGTCTAATGACACTTTTGGTAGAAGGCAGCCATTTTGAAAAATGGCCGTCATTTTAACGTATTTTACTATAACTCGAAAAGTAGTAGAGCGATTTTGTTCATATTTGATGCGTGAATACTATAAGCGTGGCACACTGTCTAATGACACTTTTGGTAGAAGGTGGCCATTTTGAAAAATGGCTGCCATTTTTGCTGTATACTTTGTTTGTAAAAAAAATGCCAGCCATGGCTGTTCGATGGGATTTGCTACACTTTGGTGTTGCTGTTGTCTAGTTGAAGGATGGATGGACGGACAAATGGAGGGGTCTCTTAGCTTATCCCCTAATCTTCGTTGGATTGAACAATTGTGAATATGGTTTGTTGGACAAATAAAACTGATTGAATGTCTAAAAGCAAATAATGAAGTGGTAATTTATTTAAAATCATTAAAATTTCAAACATGCTTGCTTTGGTCTAGTCACTTAATTCCTAAATGTCCCGTAATTAGTATCTATATACCTTATTAGATGCAGTGAAGGAGTTAAATCATTGGGATATGAATAAATCATGAAAAACATATTTTGTACATATTTCTCATCATTTAGGGTTACCCAGTAGTTTACAAGCTGACCTTTGCAAAATATATTTCACTTACTATCCTCATTCGCTATCACGCTATCTAGTTTCTTTCCAAATTGGCCTGAATTGCCTGGTTTATTGGTTTTAGCGAACCGTCCGTTTCGTCGAACCATCATTTTGCTAAGGTTGTTTGTGATGAATATACAATATTCAGTTACATATAACTGTACAGCAACTTTATGCAAGGGAAGGTAATTGTGTGAGAGCACATAAAGTACACGAAGTATTGACCCACTTGTCTCAGTGAATCTTATAAACAGTGCATAAAGTTTTTTCTATGCAATGATTGGCTCACAGTTACTTATAGTGTAAGTTATTTTATTTCTATACAGTGTGGAATAGAGTGTATAAACTTTTACAGTTTCAAGCAGGTTTTAGTGTTTTCTGACCAATGATATATTCAGACTTATTCATTTCACGATTATGTAATACTGACCTACATATCTGTATAGCATATCTTTAAATGCACATTTGTTTGTTGTCCAATGGGAAAGTACATATGCATGTAAAATCTGCATTTGATTTACAGGGTGGTCAAAAAAACGGCAACCCTAATTTTTCCTAATGTCTTTGTCATTTTTAAAATTTTTGCCCTGTTATTTGGCACACATGTACATCATTCAATTTCATTATTAGTATACTATGTACTTTTATTGACTGATAGTCGCTATGTTACAGCACTTTAAACAAGGTGCCCCAGTTTTCCAATATCGTGCTGCAGGCAAACCTGCACACATTTTTAAACCTGTCAATGACATAACTGCATTCCTCAGCAAGTATGGCCTGAACGACACATGTGATATTTATTTTGAGGTCAAATGTCTTTCGTGTGCTATTACCATACACCCTATCTTTGGGGTATCCCCACTGGTAAAGATTAAATGGGGCCATATCTGGGCTATGGGCCGGTGCCCATTCATTGTCTGTTGTACTGCTGATAATGTGGTCATTCAAGTGGTCCCAAAGCCATTATTGTGCATCATTTGGTGTATGGGGTATATATAATAAAGAAAATACTTTAAACTAACTAATTCCTTATAAAAAGATATATATGTTTATAAGTAGTGTATTACCATTGAACGAATGTTCAGTGATATATGTACAGGGTGGTCCAAAAAAATTGGAACATTTGTTAATTGAACGCAAAACCTTTATTTTTCTTCTAGAATGTACCAAACTTTTACTGAGCATAGTTCAGTCACTTATTTATCTGATGTAAAGTTTATAGGTGAAAACCTCAAAGTTAATGCATTAAACTAGTCAATATTTGATATGACCCCTCTTCTCCTGACTTACAAGTTGAAGCCTGGGGCTCAGATTTGTAAATATTCAATTAGTTTGCTGTTCGTTTGTTTTGTTCAAGCCATCTCAATTAAAAATTTCAGCTTGATCAAACTTCATATTTGTTTGCCTTGGAAGATCAAATCTAGTAACATATTTAACATTTTTTACCCAAATTCATGAGTATCAAGCATATTTTGATGACTATTGTTGGGTGTATTACTGATTGAATATTCTCCAGAAAGAGGCCAGGGCAGTCTGATTTGACTGGTAAATGAAGCCCCCGCCCCTTAATTGTTCTGATATGAATGATATCCATTGGATATATCAATATGTCTATCAATATCATAGAGAGAACACAAATGGTATATTATATATATATTATACACTGTATGTGTGCTTAACATTGGTTTTTAATGTGAATAAATGGCCATGGTCAGTTTTGCCTTTACTGAAAAGTGGGAACAATTCTTTTGACACTTGAGTAGCTGTGAGGGTTATGCAATCGCTCACCTCTGACATGTTCCTTTTCCCTACTCTTAAATGAAAATGATCATTTTGGGTATTGTTTAAGTTTAAGTTAACACAATATTTTTCTGGCAAACCCCAGATGGAAATATTCTCTGTCAACTGAATATGATTTTATAAAATATTTATAGCAATTAACATGTGCATTAAAGCTTTGAAATAAATAATACTTGAAAAAGTAGCCGCGAAATTGACAAGTGTATATTTAAGAAAAGGGGGTCCTATCAAACATTGACTAGTTTAGTGCATTAACTTTGTGGTTTTCACCTATAAACTTTACATCAGATAAATAAGTGATTGAACTATGCTCAGTAAAAGTTTGGTACATTTTAGAAGAAAAATAAAGGTTTTGCGTTCAATTAACAAATGTTCCAATTTTTTTTGGACCACCCTGTATGTACATAATAGAGATTAAAATGGTATTAAACTGTACTATGTATTAATCGATCTTATGTATTTTCTATTTATTTTACCATAATAAAATAAAGTTTGTTTGAATTACTGTAACTTATACTTAACATCACATCTACCTTGTTAATGTTTACTCACTACATGTTCATGGAAGCGTTGTCATTCTCAACTTAAAGTGTGTCAGAAAAATAGTAAAAGTGTTTATTATAAACGAACAAGAAAAGTGTTCTTCAATGACTTTTATGCTAATTACGGCCCTTTGGAACAATATATTAAAATACAAGGCTTTCGTGTGTACATTCGCACTTCAAACTTTAAGAAAAGTTTTCAAGGCTATGAAAAGGGGTGAACATCACTTTGATAGTTATATAAAACCGCTAATAGCAAAACATCTATTCATAACATCAAATAGTTGTAGATACTAGATATAGTAATCATACAAGATACAGCATTCAGTCTCAGATAATAATTAATGAAATCAAATTAATCAAATTATTCTAGCAGGTTTGATTTCCAGGTTCAAACGCTGCTCCAATGCTTTTTCCTTGGCAATTTTAACCACGACGCTAAAAATTTGAGGCCAACGATTTATTTTTACTTAACAGAGGTATTTGAATGTGGGAAAAATACTGTACATATTTCTTTGATTTTATATGTCCATAGAAACAAATTGATTTCACGTTGTACAACTAAAGAGGATTTTTAGATATCAATTTATACTTTTTAAGAATGTTTCCTCCAAGGAGCCATATGAGAGAAAATCGATGCATACAAGGTGATCCAGAAGTAACGTCAAATATGTTGCAATTTCAATCTACTGGACCAATCTTCGTGAAACTTGGTATAGATTTTGCCAAGACATTATTGAGTGTGTACTCTAAAAATATGGATTTGACTGTTTGATCGGTTGATTTTATGGTAATACTATGGTAACCAGATTTGACGTCATTCGGGGCAAGTTATTTGTTCAAGCAGAAAATGGAATGAAAAAAATTAATAGAGACAACATAAAGGTTAGTGCTAAACACTTTATTTTATTTAAATCATGAACATTTAATTGCTCAATCATTTCAAATATGTTATTTCGTAATTTCAATAAAATAAATTGTAGAAGGGATATGAAAATGAAACATTGCCTGTCAATTTAAGATTATACAATGTACACCTGCTGAAAATTTCAACTCAATTGGTTGAGAAACCTTGAAATGGCAGACCAATTTCCAAAACTTAATGATCACCCTGTATTTTCATAAATCAACTGAAATTTAAAAACTGATTCCACTTAGCTCCGATTTAGTTCACTGTGTAAGTAGATGTCACACATTAAAAAAAATTGAAAAAATGTTGATATTTATTTAAGTTATCAAGTTAAGAAGAGCTATAGTCCATTTGTCATGTTCTGAACGTATGATTGTTTAAAATACGATGTTTTACTACGCAATCACTATCGTTCAGGGGTTTATGAATTGATTTAGCGTGGTTGCCATAAAATTAACTTTGAGGTAAAATTAAATATGCAACTATATGTATCCCCATTCATGCATTAAGACATACTTGATGGTATCCGGATGCCGAGTCAATAGTCAACCACGTGTTAACTCAATACACCCTAGCTGAATGAGCCTTGTATTTTTCCCCCAAACAAACGGTTTTGGCAACCCAGTGTAAATCACTTCAGGAAACCCTTATTATCAAAAATTCACCATAAAACATCAAAGGTTCACTATATGATGTATGTGGCTGACACATGGACTATAGCTATTTTAGATACAGTTCAATTGATCGATTTCATCATTTCTAGTTGACATTGAGTGAAAAAAGAAGAGGGAAAACCCCATGATTCAATTGATGACATACGATTTCCTCCTTCGCGCACCTCCTTTCCCAGAAGTACTTACCCTCCATCTTGGTTTAATTGACCTAGTTTTAAACCAATCAACGATCGACTCGCTAAACCAATCAGCGACGATGTCATCTCAATACAGATTTACATTATAAGCGAATGTCATCTTTGAACCATGGGGTTCCTCCCCCTCTTGAGTGAAAAGCTATATATAATGTTATAAGGAATAGCAACTAGCAAGAGAGGTGCTTATGCAGGCCGAATGGTCAAATGGTCAACCCTTAAAAACGTGTTTGGTTGGTTGGCCGGTACTGTTTCCTTTCATAATTAGCGACACGTGCACATTGTCTTTGATTTCTGCTACACTTTAATCATGTTTTTCCGACAATTACGCGTTTCATGTAGTCATAGCATTTGGTTACATAAAAAGAAATAGGCTGAGAAGAACCATGCATTCGCTCAAATATAGCATTATTTTTATTTCTCTAATCAGTTTTGTGAAACTTGGTGATTTTTCAAAATGTAAGCGATGCAAGAGAGAAGTTGAGGGAAATTCTACAGAGAAGACATTATCGTTTCTAGCAGATGGAGATCCCCAGGGGTTATTCGCCACCCCAAAAGTCTTGCACAAAACCTGGAAATTATTTGGAGTGAAATCAAGATCAGAAATCGTCAAGAAAGGTGAGTAGTAGGGTTTTGTAAGTTGTCGGTCTCTGTGTAAGGGTTCAAAAAAAGTTAACTACAATTATGAGGTGGCAGAAGAGATTTAAAAGAAGAGACTTGACCCTGAATAGTGAATACCAACTCCAAACATGTGAGGCAAAAACTCCACAAGTCACAGTGGAAGAAATTGCCAAGAGTGTTTGACCTGACAGGCATCAAATACATAACATGCAAAGGGCAATATTTTGAGAAAATGTGAAATGGGACACTGTGCAAGCCATTAAATCTAAGATGTGCTCATAGTAATTTAGTATCTTAAAATGTATTTTTGAGCATACTTCTTATAGCTACACAAAATGGTATTTGTTAATTAATTATTTCATATTTTCAATTTGTTATTCCTTTTGACGTGACTATATAAGCTGCCCCACCCTACCCAAACTCACCAACTTGATTTTATTATAACATCAATATAGTTTTATCAGTCAACATGAAAATTTGTAGAACAATCAAAATGTCTCTATAAGGAATATTTACTGAAAATTTCATGGAAAAATATCAATTATTGACAAAGTTAGACCATATAGTGCATTACTTCTGGGACAACCCTCGTATATTTCAATGTTATAGAGTTATTGAAACGTTTATATATTCGGAGGGCCTGTCTAATAGTCTATAAGAGGCATTATACAATCAAACGCCTTTCATTTCTCTTTCGACGTTACTGCTGCATATCATCATCTGACGACTATATCTTATTTGACATAACTGCTGAATAAATTTAGCCGTAGACAAAGTTAGTCAAGGAATTGCAATTAGTCCTTCTTTATTGATAGTTGACCACTGACAGTCCATCTCAAAACATAATTTTAGCATATATCATTTTGATATAAAAACGCTGCTACCATTTACATCACCAAAACATTTTTCTTGTCAAACTGCGCGCCTATATTCACTTGTATTTCCCAAACTGCGTGCCTAATATTTCCAAACTGCTTGCCTATCCAAGCTTGTTTTGTATCATTAGAAAACATAAGCGCCATACAAGGCACAAATGTGTCTAATAGTAGAACCCCATAATTGAAACACTATGAGAGTCCATCCACCAAGATGGTGATCTGAAAATAAAAGTTTTTTTCGTTCCCAACTAAATTGTCACTTCTATTATACATTTTGACTTTCAATATGAAAATTTCATAAAATCTGACGATAAAGCAAAATTTCCAAAGCTACATGAAAAACACCTACACGTGCCTCTGTAGAAATTCCAATGATAATATGTAGTTTTGATAGTGTATGCGCACAGTTTGTAATTTCTGGCTAAAATAGGCGAGCAGTTTGTGGTTTATTTCTTTTTAATCTCCTGATTATCTGTTTTATCTGGAAATATTTTGAATTATACATGATGAATGTGTAAGGAATTAAATATAAAACGAGTCTAAAGTATTTGTCATTTATTTTTAAAGTGCTAGATCGATTTACGTATACATTCCCGTTAAATCAGTGACGAAAATGCCATTAATCTGCTTATGTTTTAAAACTTAGATTCATTTGCACATAGTTTTTGCTAGTATTTGCAAGATTCGTATATTCACCACAGAATGAACGCATTGAACAAGAAAACAATGCAGGATAAATGTCTTTAAATTTCGTTTCAAAAAACAGACTCCAACTTAAATAATGCAATGTTCTTAGGCACGCAGTTTGTGATCGAAACAAACTGCGCGCCTAAGTAGGCGCGCAGCTTGACATGGGCACCGTGTTAAACATACATTCAAGATCCATTTAACATAATTTCCCTCTCAGTTTGGACCTCTATCCCCTGGCCAAGAGATAGAGGTCCATGCTCTCATATAGCCGTTTGTCTTATATAAGCTGAGCTACTTGATTTCAGGAAAATACTTTGTTGAATATCTCAAAGAGTTTGGAATTGATGCAAGCAGTTTGACAGATGAGCAGCTGTACCAAGGTCAACCTGTAGATTTGGGAGATTATACGTTTTTTGCGTTTGTCTTAAAATCTAAGCTTAGGACAGTGACTGAGACAATGCCGCATCGACGTGTGAAATATTACAAGAACACATATCTTAGCGAAATTGGATTTATAGCAACAACCAAAAGACCAATCAACCTAACAGGTAAGAGCATAGAAAGAAAGGGAGCCAAGATAACATTTGCATTCTAACAAATATGGGCATGGGACGCTGAAGGGTGTAGAAATTCAATCGCAAACATACGTTATGGCAACAACGATACGCTTTACCAAATAAATATGTAATACAAACATTTATATGGTGTGAAAAATAGCAATGTCAAAAATGTAAAATTTCAATACATGTGCTGAATAGAATTTGAAGCAATGGAATCCTAAATTCATTTCATTCATGTTTTATGATTAAATGGTTTCATTCACGTAAATTAAATTCTGAAGTTATCGAGGTATATGTGGTTAACAAAGCTATAATATCATTTGAATCAATATACTATATATTTTATAGTATATATATTAAGTTTATTATTTGGTTGATGGTTAGAATATATAAATACGATAAATAATACAATACAAACATGCAAGAATTATCTGTGTGAAACATAAACGTATACATGGTCAAATACAGGTACGTCGTTGCATTTTTATTTACATTTTAATATAAGTTCAATACGTTGCATCAATATATTTGGCGGATCTTAATTTGCACAGGCTCATGGGAAATTGTCTAGGAAAACTCGTGTTTTTATGATTGCATTCTGATATAAAACGCCATAGTTTTAATATTTCTTAATATGTTTATAATGTGAATAGCATGGTGCCATGTGACTTATATTGCAGGAATTAATAAGAAGAAATTACAATAAGACAAACTGCAATCAATTCTAATTATGAGTAAATATTTGTTGTACACATGTATTTTATTCTGGTTTTCTTACTTTATGTAAGTCCCTTTTCTGGTCCTGTATTCTTTCTGGTCCTGGAGAAAATGTATAATATATTAGACATAATTTCTGTTCACGTTCAAGATCATGGTTTTGGGATAAACAGGGTATTTTTCCTTATGATAAGTAAACAATTAGAGTTTGCTTTTCTTGCTAGGGTTCATTGCAGTTTTCCATTTGGCATTTGTGCTTAGATATGTTATATGCATTTTGATTGATCACAAAACATTCTATATCGCATTCTCATTATGTCAATTTTCCAATTCAAGTACGTTCCGTTTAATCTTATATAAGGGCCAATGAGCTAATATATTTATCAAAATACTATATTTTCTTAAAATTGACTACATATGTTATATGTGGCGGTGGACTCTTTTTATCAATTTGTTTGTAATAGATGGAGCTACACAGCTATACGGTCGACATATTTTATTCTATTTTCATCATAGCATGAACTCCCATACAATGCGCACTGTGTCCTTAAAATTAAATCCAAACGCCAACAAAACTTGGCTAGCAAAATTACAATGTGAGTCTATACTAATTACTTACAAGGTATAGAAATCCGGACCATTCTATATTTGTTGTAGTGTAGAAATCCGGACCATTCTATAACTTACATATTTGTTGAAATGTAGAAATCCGGACCATTCTATAACAATATATTTTGTTGAGGTTTAGAAATTCGGACCATTCTATAACAATATATATTTGTTGAAGTGTAGAAATCTGGACCATTCTATAACTTATATCTTTGTTTAGGTCTAGAAATCCGGGTTGAAATGTAGAAATCCGGACCATTCTATAACTTAGTTTTGTTGAAGTGTAAAATTTATGAATAAATGTATGAAGTGTGTGAAATATTGATGACAGGTACAAGTATATAAACTTGTGGAAATGCCAATATGCCAATATACCTATACGCGCTAACTTCTAACGTGCGAAATATTCTTATCTCCGCGTTGGAGAGTTCAGTTTCGTGGTACAACTTTCTCAACATCCGGGCACTTTCCCATTGGAATAACATTGGCTGTGTTTTTCAATGACGCATTGTGACTTTATTAGAGGTTTATCATGAATTATATTTGCACATACGATAGATATGATCATTATAAAGACATTTGACAATTTTTTTAAAAATATATTCACCAGAATCGTCAAAATCCTAAGTTTAAAATTCAAGTGACGTCACAGATTTCCACAAGCTGAGTAACACACGTTCTTAACAGATAACACCACAAGCTGAGTAACACACGTTCTTAACAGATAAGAAAACACAAATTAAAAGCCTATTAGCCAATCTTCCATAACTAATAAGCAAACCGGACGCTTGTTCACTAACGTCCGCGCTTACCGTATAAATAAGAAGAATGATCGAGAGTGATCATACACACAGTGAGAAACAACACAACACAAACGTAATCTATCAGCATGAAAACTGAGCAGCAGCAACCACACTTGGACGACATGGTGGGACACCAATCTCCTAAAGAGAACTACAGCTCGTACGACGAGTACCTGGACGGCAGCCGGGCAGATCCCAACGAGATCAAGACTATCCCAGACAGCCAACAAGACTACAATGTCCTCACACAAACCAATGGCCAAACAAAATCCAAAAGCAGCATCAACCCTGGCCAATCCAGGATGACACCTTACAAAATACCAAAGAAAACAAACAACATCATGGAGACCCTGGGTCTTACATCCAGAAAAACGCCAAACAACCTGCCAACAGCTGAAGCAGACAGAATTGCTTTAGAAAACCTAAAAAAGGCGACACATTGGGAGGCCCGCCACCAGGGAGCGTTGAACGCCATTGAGAACTCACCAGAAGGAATACCCAAGGGACTCACCCCTAAAATATCCTGTAATGTCCCAGAGAAAGACAAATCCGACATTGCAGAGGCGTTTGAAGCAATACTCTACAAATGTGGCGAGGAACTAGCAAACGCAGCAGCACTCCATAGCCAGAACCGGTTGGAGTTCTTCAAACAAGAAATAACTTCACTGACCATACAGTTGGCAACTACCATTGGGTAAAAGGCAGCGGAAAAAACCACAAAAAACCTCCGTAATTCAGCTGCTGAAAGCAGACCAAGAAGGCGCAACTCATCAACCAACAGATCAACCTAAACAACCAAAACAACCCCGGCCCTTTTCAGGGCCACCCATCTCTACCAAAAGAGAAATTGAAATTATGAATCAATCTTTAAGCTACTTGTCAAACTGACTGAATGAATGACTGAATGAATGAATGTATGAATAAACGAATGATTAAAACCATATACAAATGAACGCACCTGTCTTCAATTCAATACCACATGTCATAACCACATCCATAACCCACCAACCCTATCCCTATTGACAAACTCAATAGATATATTATATTTATAAACCACCCAATATAACAACCAAACAACCCAATAAAACAACCTAAAGTATCAATCCCACCAAACACGCAAATAAAACAAGAAATTATGAAAACGCGTACGGAATAACAACATCCCCGTTCAAGTTAATATCTCAGCAACAAGATATGCCTCCATTATAACACTTACCACTTCACGAAGCAGAGACTATATACTAAACAACCAAACAACTCAGATACCGACCGAATAAAACAACATCTCCCCACGAAACCAATAAGTATTTCACAAATCCCGAAACATTAAGAAAACACCAGAACACAAAAATATCAGAACGCGTACGAAAACAACTTTCCAATTTAAGTTAATATCTCAACAAAATGAGATGCCTCCATTATAACCCTTACCACTTTATGAAACTGAGACTATATACTTAACAACCAAACAAACCAAATACCGACCGAATCAAACAACATCTCTCCACGAAGCAACACCCATTCTGAAACCAGCAATTATTTAGAAAAACACGATAAAACATCGAAACGCGTACAGAATAACAACACCCACCATTCAAGTTAATATCTCAACAAAAAGAGATGCCTCCATTATAACCCTTACCACTTTATGAAGCTGAGACTATATACTAAACAACCAATCAACCAAAAAACCAATTCACCGACCGAATAAAACAACATTTCCCCACGAAACCAACACATATAACACCAGAACACAAGAATATCAGAACGCGTATGGAAAAACAGCTCACCAATTTAAGTTAATATCTCAACAACAAGACATACCTCCATTAAAACACTTACCACCCCACATAACCGAAACTATATACTAAACAACCAAACAACCAAACAAACCATATACCGACCGAATCAAACAACATTTCTCCACGAAGCAACACTTATACTGAAACCGGCAATTATTTCGAAAAACACGATAAAACATCGAAACGCGTACGGAATAACAACACCCCCGTTCAAGTTAATATCTCAACAAAGGAGATGCCTCCATTATAACCCTTACCATTTTATGAAGCTGAGACCATATACTAAACAACCAAAAAACCAATTTACCGACCGAATAAAACAACATTTCCCCACGAAACCAACGCATACAACACCAGAACACAAGAATATCAGAACGTGTACGGAAAAACAGCTCACCAATTTAAGTTAATATCTCAACAACAAGACATGCCTCCATTAGAACACTTACCTCTCCATATAACCGAAACCATATACTAAACAACCAAAAAACCAAACAACCCAAATAACGACCGAATCAAACAACATTTCTGCACGAAACCAACACTTATTCTGAAACCCACAATTATTTCGAAAAACACAAAACAAGATAAAACATTGAAACGCGTACAAAAAACGAACACCCCCAATCAAGTTAATATCTCACCAATAAGATATGCCTCCATTATAAAAATTACCACTTCATGTAGCTAAGACTATATACTAAACAACCAAACAACCAAACAACCCAGACACCGACCGAATAAAACAAGATTTCCCCACGAAACAAACACTTCATTTCACAAAACCCGAAACATTAAGAAAACGCCAAAACGGGGTTAACGCCTCCCATAACTAATATTGATTGGATGAGAACAATACGTATCATTCACGATAACAAAATAACAAACACATTTTTTACTTTTAATACATTTTTTATTTTTTGGCCGCTGATGATGAACATATCATGGACGACAACCCATGAGTTCGAAACATCTTGGGCCCTTAATGTGACTAACACATAAGGGAGAAGATCCACTACAGGATCGAGATGTCCGGCCTTCACTACATAAATGACAGCAAGAGATGACACACTAATGTCACCATCTTGGGGTCTACCAAATATACTTTACCTGTCACATAATCACTGACGATAGTTCGGGGAAGCTTAGATACTAGACTTTGTCTCCCAGGTCCCACCAACGAGGCCTCTCACCAATGTACACAGATTACATGATTCATGTGTGTTCATAACAGGTGATGTCTCAAGACATGGTCTAAGTCACCACCCCCCACAATATAATAATCGAAGCAAATTGAATTTCCATCTTCTTTTCTAATTATTGTCTGGATTATAGAATATTATTATACATATGTACTAATGTTGGATCGGGATAATGCCTATGACGTTGTGTTTTGCGGACCAATAGAAAATTGTTCATGTTATCGTGTTGCATTGCGGGAAATATTTATGTTAATGACCAGTAATTTCCTAACGCGAATAGGACTATTGAAAGATCTTGAAAATATAATACCCCCGTCATAAAAACTAAGATGCGCGTGGGCAGTTACCAGTTTCACCACCAGGTGACTCATTCTGGTCAGATAGTATGGCGGATACGGTAGAGAGTTCCCGTTAACTTAGATATTCATCAGTTTTGGTGGTTCAATTTTCATATCACCCTTGTGTATCTAATAATTATGCAAATATTATCTGTCCGATACGCAAAAAGATATTTCACTTTTTTTATAACATGGGTCTATGGGGAATCTCTGCGAACTAGAAGTCACATTTTCAAAAAATTTAATTTTCAAAATTGATAAACAATTTTTGAAACCGTATTTCTAGATGTACTTTCACGTGTAGATTTCAAATATGATAATACCTTGGCTGAATTTGGAATATTTAATGACATAAACCAAGATTATTTCCACTCGCATCTAGTCTATTGAAATATAGATTTACGTGTACGCACGTGATATGTTCAATTGAAAATCAAATTACCTTTCAAATGGTATTCAAAAATATATAAATGTAAGTGTCTACTTTTCGCCCACTCTGTATATGTTTATTTCTGGTGATTTTTATCCAGAAGTGCCAATATGCTGAAGCTGATAGCACTAGGGTGTAGGGTGTCTCCTAGGATTAGGCCCGATGGTATATGGCCAGTATCTGGCATCATGTAAGTATATGATGTTACTCGAAGGAGTTAGTAATTGAGCTTTCTAGTAAAGGAAATCATAATTCTGTTTACTGAAATAAAAGAACCTATGATATATTGACGAGATTGATGATTGATGATGGCATTGATCATTCATCTTCAAATTAGGAATAGGTTCTTTCTTTTATCATCATTCTAGCAAGTTGTTTCAAAAGAATGAGTTCAAATTCGTCGATATAGTTTCACTTATGTTTTCCATTATTAGTGGAATGCGGTGTGGATATTGTCGTTATTATGGAATATATCTTGCAGTATCATTCCGCCAAACAAGGCAATCTTGCGTGAGTTTATGGTTAGCTTTGCAAAATCCTTGGATATTGGACGTTCACTGGAGAAAGCACAAGTATGATTTATAAGATCTTAATTGTTGTTAAGGTGCTATGGAAGTTAACAGGAAATGACAAAACAGGAAGTGACAATTTTTTTTGCATTTTTAGATATTTTTTGAATAAAAATAACAGAGTTCTGGTTTGACCTCCAGTCAATTTAACTATTTCCACATATCATTTACATGACCAGGATCACAATGTGCATGGTCAGAATGACCCTAAACATGATGAAATAACCTTTTTAGCCCTTTGAAAGTGTGACTGAAAAAAAAAGTAGGAGCGTAGGGATAGTCACTGAACAGAATCTTTTGAATTTTTCAGAAAATGTGCCCAATATAATGCTCTAACTAGTACAATCTTTGAAATTTTAGAAAATTGTCTTAAACAAAAATGGCAGTCATAAAAAGGAAATTAGATCGCTTTTCAAATCAGTTTTTTCATTTTTTTTCTTTTTCTATGAATGATATCAAATTTTCAAAGATTGTATCATTTAGAGCAATATATTAGGCACATTTTCTGAAAAATTCAAAAGATTCTGTTTAGTGACCTTCCCTACGCTCCTACTTTTAGCTTTTTTTCAGTCACACTTTCAAAGGGCTAAAAAGGTTATTTCATCATGTTTAGGGTCATTCTGACCATGCACATTGTGATCCTGGTCATGTAAATGATATGTGGAAATAGTTAAATTGACTGGAGGTCAAACCAGAACTCTGTTATCTTTATTCAAAAAATATCTAAAAATGCAAAAAAATTGTCACTTCCTGTTTTGTCATTTCCTGTTAAGTTCCATAGCACCTTAATTGCTCTTTTATCGTAATACTAATAATCAAGGTTAAGCTAGATAGAACCCAGCTAACAATTTTACGTTGTGATAACGTCGTCAGAATATATGTCTCAAGTTGTAGCAACGTTAATATGGAACGTTGTAGGTACAGGAAGGTGTGGACTCGCACAGATGTTTAAAGAACGTTACATTTGACTTAAATATCACGTGTCAGGAACGTAGTAGCGACCTTAACAATTACGTCGCCAAAATAACGAAACTGTAACGTACTTACATTACGTCATATATACGTGGCCAATCTAAATTTCTGGTAACGTTGATATGGAACGTTGTAGGAACAGGAAGGTGTGGACTCGCACAGATGTTTAAAGAACGTTACATTTGACTTAAATATCACGTGTCAGGAACGTAGTAGCGACCTTAACAATTACGTCGCCAAAATAACGAAACTGTAACGTACTTACATTACGTCATATATACGTGGCCAATCTAAATTTCTGGTAACGTTGATATGGAACGTTGTAGGTACAGGAAGGTGTGGACTCGCATAGATGTTTAAAGAACGTTACATTTGACTTAAATATCACGTGTCAGGAACGTAGTAGCGACCTTAACAATTACGTCACCAAAATAACGAAAATGTAACGTACTTACATTACGTCATAAATACGTGGCCAATC